CCTGCCTGCTGCAGCCCCCCCAGCCCCGGGCTCGGGGTGGGGGGGCTCCAGGGAACTGCATGGGGGGTCTCTCACTGCCCCCGAGTTCCTGCCGTGGGTTTGTCTCGCTCTCCGTCTGCCGTGGGCTGAAGGTGGCACCGCGTCTCCTGGGTCTGTGCACTGCCATCCCTGGAAGTCTTCAAAGCCAGGTTGGATGGGGCTTTGAGCAACCTGGTCTAGTGGGAGGTGTCCCTGCCCATGGCAGGGGGGTTGGAACTACAGGTTCTTTAAGGTCTCTTCCAACTCTGACCATTCTGTCGTTCTATGATTCCATGAATGGGAACACAGCTTGCTTATCTCCTCCTTTGGGGGAAAAAAAACAAGAGAAAATGTCTGTTTCCAGTTCGGAGAGTTAAAAAACAAACAAACTGAGAGCTCTGCCCTTTGACAGCTCATGCTACCTGTAAAGTCTGACACTGTGAAATAACTCTTAACGAGTTTCTTCTAATGATGTTATCCCTTGCACTTGTTAATAAAACATTAAAATGTTGTTCTAACCCAGTTCTCCCCAGGAGATGTTCAACCCTTTGTATTACAGCATTGAAAACACATAGTTAGTCCCGTTGGACATAGACCTTTGAGGCAATTTTTAGCTCAGCAAAGACTGTGTGTGTATAAAGTGTAACACACATTCCACAACTGTTCTTCAAATGATGTTATGTTCTTCATTGCCTTCTGGTGATCAGGCAAATAAATGTGGGTTTGGATTAAGTGACTGCAGCCCAGTCCTGGCTTCTCCATCTTCCCTCTGTCTGCCCATTACTGGGACCAAGGAGAAGTCAGTGCAAACTCTGGGGATCTCAAGAGAAGTCCTGCCACCAAAATCTCCTGGTCTGCTCTTCTTGTCTTTCCCCTTTTGCCAATAACAACCTAAACCTGAGCTTCAGGAGATGAGTCGGTAGCTTTGCAAGGTAAGGACACACATAAATCGAATCAGCAGCTCCTGGTACTTGTGAGATTAGCTTATGCACAGATCATTCTCCCGCCTAGACCTGTGCTGGATCCTGTCTGCTGGACCTGGTGACAAGAGAGCATTCCCAGATGGGGTTTCAAAGCACCAGATGGGCAGCTCTGAGGCTTGCCGAGTCAGCAGGCAACCCTTTTCTGCCCCCACTTTGTGCTGATCTGCCAGTTATGGTTTTCCTGCACCAAAGGAAGCAAAGATACTCATTTCATAGCGTGGAAATGACACTATTGCATCACTAAGGTAATAACATCACCTTGTGGAACTGGATCTCATGGAACTGGAAGTGAAACAATCTTTTAACTGTTCCTGTCAGCCAGTTTCATTTTTTTTTACTGTTGTTTTGGGGTTTTTTAACACTTTTTTAATGCACTTTTTACTTATTTTCAAGGAAATGTGTAGTGGAAAAGAGCTGTCTTAAAACTGCTGTCTTGAAGATCTCAATCAAAAGACAATTCTAGTGTGTTTCAGAGGAAGCTCTTTTACTCCCCCCAGGCCGGTGCAGCTCTCCTTAGTCTTCCTCTGTAAAACATCATCCTTGCTACTTGCAGATGGAGCTGGAGATAGCTCTGACATGGTTCTGGGCAAACATTGCAGTGGTCCCTCTTTCTTTGCACCAGACTGGTGGACCTGCATTGCTATTGATCTAGCCCAGTTTGACCTCCCTGTGCCCAGAGCTCCAAACTTGCATCCTGAATCCTCTCTCCTGAAATCATTCTGCTTGCAGTCATTTAAGTGAACCAGCATCTAGGGCAGGGACTCCACCAACCCTACGATCTGGGGCACATGTGATGTAACCATATGCATTACTCCAGCACTGCAGGACCTTGACAGTGCTGCACGTATCCCACATTTCCCAGTACAGCTCCCAAGATACTCCTGTGAACATCATTTCTGTGGTCAGATAACTGTTTGCTTTTTGTTCACATTTTGCATCTGATTTGTTCCAAAATAATCAGGACATAGGCATCCGTGCACATCACTGAGTCACCAGCTTCTCTGCGAGCAGCAGCTGCGCGGGCTCCTGGCGTGGAGGCCTGGTTTGTATTATGGTGAGGGAAACACTAAGCCTCTAGGGGCTAGTGTTTGGGGTGGTAAGAGGAAAAGAGCTCTTCATTGTAAAGCTGGTTTTCTTTTCATGGCCCAATATTTTCTTGGGTAGTTTTCCCTTTTTGACATGTTTTGGTTTGGTTTTGTGGTTCTTTTGCTGACCTTCTAGTTGTCTTTCCCACTGAAATGCAGTGACCTTGGCCTGATTCCGCAGGGAGGAGACGCATTCGATCCTTTCATGTGGTCTTGCCTCTTTCTAAACGCTTATCCTGGTACCCTCATGTACTGCTGGCCCCAGGAAAGGCACATATATATCCTCCCGGATAAAAAGGAAGAAGCAACGACTGGGGACTGGGTTTCAGATGCCTGAAAGATGAAGCTGGGAGTGCTACGTCACCACCACACTAACCCAGCTATGCTGAAAGTAGGTCATTCCCACATTGATGCAGGTGTGCATGTGTGCGAGTGGGGTCCAGCCCGCGTACGTGTGCATATAGTGGAAACACTTACTAGCATTCTTCTATTGTACTTGTGTTTTTCAGGGACAAAAAATTCTTGTTCCACTCCTTTTTTTTTTTTTTTTTCCTGTTGAGTGAAATACTGCTGAATACGCAAATAAAAACAATTGTGTGGTATTTTGAAAGAAAACGTGTATTGTAATATAGATTGCTTTTAGTAAGGGGGATGAAATCACTGGTGTTCTGCTATGTGGTCCTGACAGGAAGAGGAGATGCAGGCAGAGCCAA